CCTCTGTAAGCACCCAGCATTAATCAAATCCAGATACCACTTTCACACTGTTCGTTCAAGTTGTTGCCAATTCTTTGAGTTTCACTTTCAATTTCAAGATCTATTGAATCCAAAATGATGAAACTGACACTTGGATTGAAATCAGAGTGTTGAAATCAGATGCATGCATACAAAATGACCAGGCTGCCAGCTATCATATATCATTACTAAGGCAAAAATAAAGCCACTAACTGAACAGCAGCAGCAGCAGCAGAAGCCTATTTCAGAACCTGGCAAAATAGCCACGTAAGGTAAAGGTTTCACATGAGGCCTAGCTGAGAATGTTGGATTTGAAGCCTGCATGAAGGCATATCATAGGATTAATTTGGAGTATGGTTAACATTTACAAGACAGTGAAAATGGCATGATATTTTGCATCTTCTGACCTAAGAAAATTTCAATGGCAAAGATTGAGTTTCAAAAGAATTTAAAAAAACAAACAAACAAACAAACAAACAAACAAACAAACAAAAACTTAGCCATACAGATTTTCCAAATAATTTGGAATGTTAGAAAATAGGCATTATAATTTGCACCAGCAAACTGGTATGGTTGAAATTAAAAGAAGAAAATGTTACTATTTCATTTTTCTAAAAATTCAGTTTAAAAAATTTTCTGAAAAATTTCTCAGCAATTTAAGAATTCACTGCATGTTTCTTCATATCTTTGTGATATCTCAAAGACATAAAACAGGACATGATTCCCTTTGAAAATGTATTTCTTGCTGACTTATGTAGAAATGTATGTGTATGTTTAGTACGTATTGATTGGAATAGTTCTGAAACTGACAGTATCTGAAATCACGAACAAGTGAGGCACCTTGCTCAGTTCCTCAGTCTTCCACTCATTAGTTCCTCCAGTGTCTCAAGAATGAAAATCTGTGATGCCATTAGTCATAAAGATTTTTAAGCACCTGCTCATTTTTGCTTTTAGGATAACAATATGAGAAAGGAGACTGAATTTCCTTTGAAGTGATTGGAGGTCTGAGTAATGGGATTTATCACTTTGAATGCTAGAACTATTCAGATAAGTTCCCAATCTTAAATTACCAATACTTTGACAGCTAAAAACAGTGAGTTCATCAAATTGCTGCTTTGGTGCAGGTAATGAATTAATATGCTGAACATAATGTATCTATTTGTAACCAGGTAATTTTAGTGCAGATATATCATGATTGAATTATAAACAAATATCATCTGTAGAAAACTCCATTAGATTGCTTGTTGCAAAAGAGATGCGTCTTAAAGGATACAGCTTCAATATATTTATGTGGCTGATATTGTTAAGTATTAGTGGAAAAAACTCATAGGACTTTCTTTTAAGTGTAAGTCCAGAAAATTGTCTATCATTTTGTACCAACTGGTTTTATATATTCTATAAATTAAAAACTGCAGATATTTACAAGGAAAGAAAAATCTGTGATATTCAGACCAAAAGCATTCTTTCGTGTATGTCATGGTGGAAGCAGAAGGCACACCACGTGTCACTTTGCTCTTATGTATTTTGAATTCTTAACCATCTAGGGTCACTGCTGTATTGAGATTTCCTAACTGCCTCTTGCTTTGGTGAAGCTACCCTACGGTGCAGTACTGACATGCTTTATTGTCATGGTGCGGACACAGCATAGCCAGCTCTACCGCTTCTTCCCTTAGTATAATACTCCTAGTTATCTTTTTTATTGCCAGAACATTCATTTATGAGATATTTTTCTTTAGCACAAGGTCTCCTTTGTACTGTACTTTAAAAAGATACTTTAAAGTCATTTTTATTTATTTGGTCAGTATGAAATTATGAAAATTCTTTTTAATGGAAAATAATTTTTCATTAGCTGCAACATTAGTGGACATAACAAAGTAAGTTGATTTCAAGATCCAGTGTTTGAGTGGGAGAGTGGGTTAACATTTTGAATGCCTCTATGAAAGAGGTATCACATGTTCTTAAAACTTACCGTTTTGAATAAGAGTTATAAATGGAAAAAGTAATGTGGTACTTTGTGATACTTTAAAGAAAATGTCCATTTGTGTCAGTCTCACATCTAGCAAATTATGGAAGTATCTTGAATCAAAAATCATTTGCTGATGAAAATTTCCTGTTTTATGTGCTGATGAGAAAAGAATACAGAGATATTTCTTGGGAAAGCAAAAAGTTTGTCTCTATCTCTCTATTAAAACTTAGCATGATAATTTTATATGGTATTTTACCCTACAGACAAAACTCTCATTGATTTTAGTGGGAATGCTACTTACATATACATTTTAAGAGCTAGGCAAAAAAACCAGACATTTTTGATGAAAAAAGAAATTTTAAAAGGGAGTATGTGTAAAGATGGTAAAAGTTCTTTCTGGTAGTGAACTACGACTTATTAGTTTTAAACACAGAGTTTTTCCTTTACCAAATTGTAGATAAGTGTGACTTCAGCATTTCTGTATCCTACCATGCTTTCCTGGATTGTCTCACTTTCTTCTGTGATATATCCTTCTCTCTTTAGATTTTTATCACAGCCAGTGCTCTGCTTGTGACCAGGGCCTGAATGTACTTCCCACTGCAGTGATCCAGAGATTTACAGCACTCAAGCTGAGTTTGGCAACCACGAGAGCAAACCTTTGCAGCTCTCCCAGTATCTGTGAGCTGAGACACTGAAAGCAGATGCACACATTTCTGGCAAAATCTCCACTGGTGTGCATTAGCAATGGGATCAACATTCGTGTACCCCAGTAGAGTACTTGTATATATTTATAAACTGTATTTGGGAAACGCTATCCTTGGATCTTAGAGCCAGTGGCAAAAATTAGTATGCAGTAGTTGGGGAATAATTCAATCTTCCATGTGCTACTAGTGTCAGTTTTCATGGATAACAAAAGAGAAGCTGAAAACATTGCCCCTCTGCAGACCACCCACCTCGCAGAGCTTCAGCCTGGTGGTGGTTCCTGACCTGCAGACCCAGGTCCGTGTACCTCCAAGAAAGCCCAAGCTCCCTGGGAAGGATGGCAAGACCTGCTGACAAGGTGAGCTACAAAAGAAGCTGTGACCTGTCAGCTCTAAGTTTCAGGTTTTTGGCCAGATACGAATGTCAATTTTCAAGTCTCACTGATCTCAACCACTCATAAGTGTGGAGAAATGAATGATCTGGAGCTCACAAAGTCCACCATGCTTATAACACATATATGCTGTCATGTGTGAACTTTTACTAAGAATCTTCTTAAGTATGATATTGGCCTTTTGATTGGTTTCATTTTCAAGAGAGCAAACTCATGCTTTTTGGTTCCTAAATATCTTCCTAAGTTTAGCTATTCCCACTGGAAAAAGTGCAAAGTCACAACAGTTGCCATCCATCTTTTTCTCAAGCCCCAAATGATAAGAGAGATACCAGACTTAAGGGCTGCTGTCTGGGATGTGAACATGAAAGAGAAAAGTATCTGGTATAGCCTATTTTTTCTTGTCAGAGAAACTTATTCATAATCTGTGTTCAAGTTTCTATGCTTTTTACTTTTAGTTTTACATAATCAATGTCAGTTGCCTTTCTGTTACTTACAATTTTTGAAGTTCTAGCTATAAATTTTCACTAGATGGCAGGACTCCACTGTTATCTATTAACAGGAGCTTTACGTGCAAAGCAGCAGCTGCCTATTGGTAGGAAAACTTTTAAAACATGTTCAAGTTTTGCAAAATATTATAACACCAAAAAAACCCCACTAATAAGAAAGGGATACGTAAACGCAATAAAAATATTTCTATTATTGAGTATTGTTAACATTATGGACTTAAAATCATTGAAAATAATTAGGAAAGACGATGTTTCCTTGACGAAGCAGCTAAAAAGACTTTCTTTTATAAGATGAAGTAGATTTTCACATATTGTTGTGCTATTTGTGAAAATGTTAACTGATCCAGTAAATTAGATGTGACTAGTTTAAGAAGTATGTTGACAGGTTAAGAAAGTTAGAGCTTAAATAACTGAACCGCTGACCTAAAATAATATGAATAAATTCAAAAAAATTAACACTGAGTGTACTGGGACTACCAAGAACTAAAATCTGTAAATCCCTCGGCATCTTGTTTTCCAGCCTATTTTTATATATTTTAATCTCTCTCAATTTAATGGGGCAGAATTCATTGCACGGTGAGCAGTCCTGGTATGGTCTCAGCCAATGGTATTTTGCTGATCCCAGTGCTCCAGACAAAAATTGTCCCCCTTGTCTAGGAAAACAGAACACAGCTCCATACAGTTATATAAGCCTCAATAACTATGACAAATCATCATTGTTGCAATGGAATGAGTACTGATTTTTAACAGCACTTTTAAAGTATTACTTTTGTGGCTGCGGGTTGCCAGTTCTTATTTTTATTTTTTCTGACCTTTTCTACTATCTGTTTTGCTTTCATTTTATACATGGAGATAATTTATGAGCCGCTCAGTAATTTTCAGTGCTGTTCATGAAATATAAAAGGAAATGTTTGGCTTCTATTAAGGCTGCCCCTAAGACCGGATAACTTTCCAAAAACAGAGATAACTTGGTGTAATTCTTTCTGGGATTCCCAAAATAGTAAGGACATTTTCTCATGATAAAGCTGTATTTATTCTTTGCCTAGAGAGGAGAAGTATCATAAATAAATGACCGAAACAGCATTTCCTAATATGAGATTCGGTTTGGCAATATGCTGAGTGCACTCAAAAACATACGGCAAATCGTATAGGAGCTGAAAGGCATACATCATCTCAGTTTTAGGTCTTTTACATTTAAGAAAACGTTTGCAATACTTGTTAACTCTCAAAAAGTAATCAATGCTTTTTATTGAAACAAACACAATCAGCCCCTGTATAATCCCTGCAAAACATGTTAGCTCAGTCAAACAAACATCTCAATACGATCCACACCAACAGTTTCACTGGAGACAATATGTAGTTAGCAAACTATTCTCTTCACTCATGTCACACAAAACACAACATCTCATGATCCTACCTTGGCGATTTGCAAAGGCTGCTTTTGCTCCTTTCCACCTTGCAATCTAAAGCCCCAAGGCGCCCCTCCGCTCATAGCAATGCAGATATAATCCCCTGTGCCCATTTTCCTGGTGCAATTAGGCAGCATTCATTTACAGAACATAAAAAAATTGTCTTGCAGATGTTCAGCGAGCCTGAGGCAGAGCTGGAGACCCAGAGCACCACACTGTTGCTGCTGCTGCGTACTGCACTAGCAAATGTATTCATTCAGAAGAATGTTAGAGCTCTCAGATCAAGGGCACAGCCCACTCTTTCGTCAGATTCCTATGCTCAGCCCACCTTCAAAGTAAAGTAAGTAACACTTAGGAAATGCACACAAAGAGACTTGGCCATGAGGCAGAAAAGCCTGCGTTTAAACATGAGTCTCTCACGACAGCTAAATCAAAACAAATGCAGAAAGAAGTGTGTATTTCCCAATGATGATTTAGGACATAAGTTTACTTTAGTAAATGGTGCCAGTCATTTTTAAATTTACCCACTTCTTGTGTTCATACTCAAAACAAAGAAGAAAAGCAGAATTTCAAGTGAACCATTGTGTACGTCTGAATTAATGATATTGAAAGCTTTTTTAGGATTTTCATTTCTATTCTGCATGCACTGACTGCAGCACTATAGGTATGTCTCCCTTTCAAAAAAAGGAAAAGCTTCACAATTTCCCAGTCCTAGAATTGCTTCTTTCACTGGTTCTCTGTAGCCTCAGCATAGTGCAACATGTACTGCTGTTTTTCAATGATCTGAAGCATTGCTAGACCCTAATAATACCTGTTCTTATGCAGACTGCTGCCCTTTCCACCGGGGAAAGGAAAGGAACTGGTGGAATGAGATACCAGTTATACCAATTCTCTCTACTGATGCTATCAACAGCTGATGCTATCAACAGGTACCAACAAAAGGTAACCTTATCATAAGTATAAAAAGAACTGATTCTGTGTGAAGTTTATTAGCTGCTGCATTACAAGGCCTATATGCAGTTCTGCTCATAGTTGCTGACTTTAAGTTGACTGTTGACAGCTGAGCTCCTGTAGGTTTAATTGGAGTGGTTTGAAAGGTCTCAGTACGAAGTGGTTTTGGATGGCTAGTTCAACATATTCAGAGATGTTGGGACAGTGGAAAACACTTGTTTTTTAAGTTACTAAGTATCTGGTAGCTGTTGAGGGCTTAAAACTAAGCCTATTTGTCCGTCAGTTCGATGTCTATGGAGTGATGCTTCCAATTGCTATAGCAGGGTTCCTTAAAAACCATTAGGCAAAATACTGAGGTAGAGGCAGAGTCTTCTGTTAGACTGAACTACTATGGAGAAAGTAAGCGAGCTTTAGGTACTTGAGCCCTTCATCAGGCATGTAAAGGCACTAAGGTAACCCAAAGACTGGGTAGAGACAAGTTCCCTCAACAAACAGGAAAAATGTCACTATCTCAATGTCAGGATCTATTTGAAGGTAGTGTTTTTTTGGTTTTTTTTTTTATCGACTACAGGTCAAAGGCTTAGGAGAAGCAGAAGCATGGTCTGACATAAAATTAAATACTTCAAAAAAACTCTGCCAGACAAACCATACTTAGAAAGGGAATAGTCTTTAAAGGGGCTTTGCTAGATAACATTTGAGTGAAAAAAAAGCCTGGTTTAAAATAACAGTTCAAGAGGGCTAGCTGATTCTTACTATCTTCTGCAATGTTGATCTGTTGCCATAGCAGACATTTTTTTTAATCTTTCCGTGAGCAAAATCTTGCTGTAGATAAAATTCTCTCATTTTCTTACTGATAGAAGTTGTTATAGATACTTTTGTGACAGTATTCTTAGGCATATAGCTGCAAAAAATGTCCTCCGGAAAAACTAGGGTGGTTTTTTTTGTTGGTGGTGTTTTTTGTTTTGTTTTTTGTTTTGTTTTTTTTTTTAGGAAAACAAGTCTTACAGAATATCAGCCCTTTGTATATTTTATTTGTAAGAAAATTTATAGTTTCATTACTGCTAGGGTGCTTTTGAGTTTGTGCTAGGCTATTTTTTACCATTTTGGTAAAAAGGAATAATCAAATCTGATCTCTGTTTATGTCTCAGAAAACTTACTGTAGAAAACAAGGTAAAGTGTACCATAATTAAACTCTTCTGCATCTGAATGGTCACATAGTTGACAGGAACTTTTACTAGATATAGATACTTTTATCTCTTTTGACCATAAGGGAGAACGGTGTAAAATGATAATGTGGAACAAGCTTGTTTAATCATCACTCAGCTGGAAAAAATAAGTCAGAACAGTTTGATTTTTTTTTTTTTTTTTTATGTAACAAGTGAAGTATCTACGTACAGTTGGTGAAATATCAGTAGTTGGTCTTCCCTGATGTTAGTCCCACCTTTAATCTGTTTGTAATCTTGAGGCAAAAGAGCAGAGAGAAGCACTTCAAAATTGATTGGTATAGCAAAAGACAACAGAAAATTGATGTGTAAAATTATGTCAATAATTTTGGCCAATATCACCACAAGGAAAAGTGGAGAAATTTCTCTTCAATGGTAAAAATAAGTTTTATATAAAATTGTGTGCTAGTGCTTTTGGATTCTTAAAGCTGAATATTTCAGTATTTGTTTAATGTTCTACTTAATTCTGCTTTGTGATATCTATGTGGTGCTCCACAGTTCAGTGGAAGCAGCGCCAATAGATAATGTCAGTGGCACTAAGACCTCTGATCTCCACACAGAAATTCTTTTTTAGGACCTGAGTTTCTATTTATATTGTGTAGTATTGACAGCTCTGGAACAAGCTGTGTAAATAATATTAAAAAATGAAAGGAGTAATCAAGTGTGATGGCAAAGCTTTTGACTTGAAACACTTAAACTGTGGTGTCCTTTGCTTAAACTGACAAGGATGAAGGTCCTCACAGGAGAACGGAGATAGAAAAAAAAAATATATTTCTTCCTTAGTAGTCTGTTGAGGGGTTTTTATAACAACGATTCCAAACAAATTACTGTTTAATATTTTTTTCTCGTAAGAGAGAACTTGTTGCTTGTTCCTCAACTTAAAAAACAAACAAACAAAAAAACCAAACAAACCCACATTTGAACTCTGTAACTAAGCTATTCCCATAATGGGGAGATGCAAAGCTCCCTGTGTCCTAATCTCTATCAAATAATGCTCCATAGGCATTAACTACTTCCACTTGCCATATATGACTTTCTTAAATGTTTATGCCTCAGCTTATCTTGCTTTTTAATATTATTCTTATCTTCTTGCACATTCTCTGCATCCTTTGGGATTTCTAAATGCTGGTCAGAAACTGGACACATCATAAAAGTGGAGTCATTTGTGGGGTTTATGACATTTTGGTTGATATTTGGTCTCTATGGTACAAATAAATTGCATCGTTTCAGAGATAATTTTTGGAGATCACCAAAAACTTCAAATTTAAAGGAAAAACAGACATTTAAGCATTGCCTTCATCTCCATCATTTTCTTTAAAACCAAAACATTCAAGTGTAGGCAAAGACTGGTAAAAATGTTAGGCAGCAAAAATTAACTTTGGAAAGTCATCATATTGCAAATGCCAGAGCTTACCCGACATTCATCTGTGCCCAAATACAGGCAAAACTTCAGCTTGAAATTTGATCTTCTATGATAAGATCTTTATGAAAAAGAATCCAGGTTAAACTCCCAACTGCTCATCTACTTTCAAGAACTGCCAGTCCAAAAATTTAGCACAATAGCTTTTGATGAGCCATGGTAAAGTAAAAGTAGCTAAGTAGTAGTACTTAGACCTAAGTGAGAATGTATATCCTGGCAAGGGGTAAAAAATGACAGTTTATGGAAAAGAATAAGAACATGGGACACGTACACTACTTTCCTCAGGTGAAATTCAGCAAGTACCACTCAAGAAATTCTTCAGCCAAATGCAGTTCCTGTGTATTTACTAACAGTTATGAATTTCTTTTCCATGATTTATTCCTGCTTGCTTTTGCTCCCACATAACTTTTGATATTGATAGCTGATTGTAGAAAGTAATCCCCAACCATACGTGATATGAAGAATCACTTCTTGTTTGACTCTGGATCCTATGGGTTCATTTGACATCCCCTGCTTCTTCTCCGGAATTAACTCAACAGTAAGTGCCCAGCCACCCTACGTTACTTATTTTGCAGACAACTGTCATATTCACCTCAGTCATGTGTTTTCAAGGGAAGATAAACAGAATAATTAGTCATTCTTTATAGAAGGAGCTGTCTCATACTTTTTAAAATTATATTTTAAAAAAATTAATAATCCCCAGTGTGCATCACCTTTATACTTTTAAGCTGCGTTACAGTAATGGCTGTTTAGTTTTCTTAAAAGCCTTTGGTGAAGGAATTTGTTGAAAGCCGTGTGCAAATCCAAGATCAACTAGATCATTCTTATCCTTGTGTTTCTTGATCCCTTCAAAGGACAGCCTTACAGTTGTGAGTCTTCCTTTTATGAAAACCATTTTAACTCTTCGCAGGTAAGTCATATTTATCCAGATGGTCAATATTCCTCATTATGGTTTCCAGCTTTTAGTTTTGTGTTTTATTGACATTGATTTTTTTTTTTTTTTTTTGTAAAATCTGATGTGAATCAAGAAAATGTGTAGCTAGATTCAGAAGACATTTGACAAACTTGTAAGAAAAAAAAGATATATGTTAGTATTTCATTCTGCAATAAAAGAAAAGCTGTCATTTCACCTATAGTTTCTTTCTAAAGTACCCTACAACTGTAGATTGTTTAAAAATGCAAATCTTTCCGTCCATTCCTTAGTAATGAGAAATAGAGAGAGGGAAAGGGGATATCATGATCTCTAATTTATGGGCAGCATTTTAGCACTTAAATACCTCAATGATATGATTTTCTCCTTTTTATGTATTTCACTCTTTTCCATCCAATTTTTTTTTTTTCATATAAAATCAACTAGTTCCCTAAAAATTCTTTCTTGGAGATTCTAACTGGATCATCTGTAAACAATCTAATAAAATACACATTTTGTTTTAGTATGTAATTTCAGCCAAATGGGAGAATCAGCAGGGGAAAAAAAAAAGAAAAAGAAAAAGAAAAAAGGAAATAGGGAAAGAAAACAGATTTGCAATGATGTTTGTTTTGTTTGCTTATTAATTACACAGAAAAAAACCCCACACTTGCATTAAATGAAAAACAAAAATAGAATCAAACCATGCCACTTAAGAAAATATGAAATACAGCCTCTTCCAAATGAATTGAA